ACAGAAAACAATTCTTTTGGTTACCAGGGGAAAGGGGACGGGAAAGGATAAACTTGGGAGTTTGAGATTTGAAAATGTTAACTACTATATATAAAAATAGATAAAAAACAAATTTCTTCTGTATCACACAGGGAACTATATTCTATATCTTGTAATATCCTTTAATGAAAAAGAATATGAAAACAAATACATGTACATATATGCATGACTAGGACATTCTGCTGTACACTAGAAATTGACACAAATTGTAACTGACTATACTTCAATTAAAAAAAAAGAAAATCTCTATTTTCTCTTATTTTTGAGGAATCCAGCTCAGATATATCTAAAAATTCTTTACATTCTCTTGTAAAACTGATGTTTTCTAAAGAGATAACTGAACTGAAGTTAGTCACACCCTGCATTTTCCCTTCTGGAAACTTTGAGAGCCAGTTGCCTTAAACTGCTCAACCTGATGGTGAACAGTAAAACCTGCAGTAAGCATATCTACCTACCCTGGGAAGCAGCTTGCTTGTGAAATGAAGCTTCCTAGAATCTCTTCCAAATATTTTCAACTGAATTTTCATTCATGTACCCATTTTAATATCCATACCATCCTCTAGTTTCCTTAGCATCTTTTGTAATTAAGTTATTGGTTGAGATTGAAAAAACACATGATATAAGTTAATAGCTGCCTTATTCCTCTTCTCATCTGTGGTGGTTACCATATTACATCATTTTTCAAAGATGAGTCATATTTATACTCCTGGCAACTGTTTTTTGCATACAGAATATGTTTGATAGGTGTCATACATTATCTGTCAAGTACAGAATGGGAGTCTGGGGTCCGTTTCTCTCTTCAAGAAATTATTTATGAGAACCTACAGTAAGCCAGGCACTCTTAGAATCTAAGGATAGAGCAAACTGATAGAAATCCCTGTCCTCATGGTGCTCTCAAGTGGGGAAGATGACCCATTATCAAAATGAAGAAGCAAAGTGTGTAGCATGTTACTTGGTATAAGGGGGAGAAGCAGTCCCAGATAAAAAGATTACTATTTCAAATAACATGTTTATAGAAGGAATCACCAAAAAGGTAGTGGCTAAGGAAAGACCTAAATGAGACAAAGCCCAAAGCCATGCAGATCTCTGGGGAAGACTGTGCCACTAAGAGAAAAATAGCCTGGGTTGGCATTGAAGATGGAGCACCCCTAGAATTTCTGAGTAACAACTGGGAGGCCAATATAGCTAGGATAGAGAGAAAAGAGAAGTAGAGAAGACCACTTTTGTTCAAGATTCTGAACAAAAGAGTTACCTGATCTGACTAAGATTTAACGTATTCACTCTGGCTGTTGTGTTGTGAATGGATAATGTTACGCAAAGGCAGAAGCAGATTAACTAGTTAGGAAGCCAATAAAAGAATTCAGGTAAAAAGGGGAAAGGGCAGGGGCAGGATAAATTAGAAGCTGCGGAGTAACAGATACACATTACTATATATAAAATAGATAAACAAGGACCTACTGTATAGCACGGGGAACTATATTCATTATCTTGTAATAACATAATAATGGAAAAGAATCTGAAAAACTGAATCACTTTCCTGTACACCTGAAACTGACATTGTAAATCAACTATATTTCAATCAAAAAATTTTTTAAAAAGGAATCCACATGAGAAATGATGATGGCTTGGACTAGGTTGATAGCAGTGAACACAGTGAAAAATGAACATATTCTAGATATTGCTTGAGGATAAAGCCAATAGGATTTGCCGATGCAGTGGGTGTGATGAAGAGA